GATAGCAGAAAGAATAAAGCTTTAGTGTTTTTGAAGATTGAAGACTTAGTTTGAAAATGGCATCTTTGAGGCCAAATTTATAGTGGGGATATTGAAGAATATTTAGAAACATACCAGGTGAAGCAATTAGTTAAGTTCCACATGGTTCTGCTTGTCTTGTGCTAAGCATTATGCCCTACCACCTTAAAGAAAGTGGCAATTTGCGAAATTTTATGTGAATATAAGTTCCAAATGTTCTGAACTTATAAATCACTGAATTCAACACACACTCGTCTTGATCTTAGACTATAGAGGATTCATTTGGACTATTCGCTAACCATTGAACTTAGACCTTGTTCCTTAGTTGCTTTTGTTGTACCACTAAGGCCAACATACTTTTGAGGGTAAGTGCAGATCCTCTATATAGCCGATACTTGTCTGAAATGACGTTTCGAGACCATTAAAGATCAGCTAACTTTTTGTAATAGTATTAGAATCATCCTCATCCATTCATTCAGACTGGTATCTTGGACTAACTTGATCGAGTCACACTCAGTTCTGCTGATGACTCCATTTGTCTAAGCTCTTAGTGACTATCCATAGTCAACCACCACTTGCAACGGACGAAGACACTTTCGAAAACATACGAGGACGCACCAACACCAGTAGCTTCCTAGTTGACATGTATTCTTTAGGACTAAAGCATAACATGAGAAGATGACCTTACGGTTGCCCACAGATCGAATATGCGTGATATATCTTTGTTGACATGCCAACTGCATAGATTTACATATAATAGATCCTTGAATGTTCAATGTATGGTAAATGTCAAATGAATAAGCTATTAATGGTATATATCAAATGTATGCACCAAGGTGAAGTGTAAGCATCAATGTCCTTCTTACACTGTTATTGTTGGGAAATATCAGACGACTCCCAACAACCGCATGTTTTCCAGAAAGTCCGTATCTCTGTTCTTTCTTTACAATAGGTTATGAAAGAGGAGAATAAGGAATAAAAACAATGTTTCTAGTATCAATATGTAACAACAAGCAGTAAATCTTCATAATGAAAAATAATTTGATCTGCATGTTGTATACAGTCTAGAGCAGTTTTCTTTCAGACATTCACTCACTGGTATGTTGGACATGCTTTATAATCATAAAGTCCATGATTAGTCCATAAGAATTTCAACTGGACCACCATTTTTTGTCCATTGGTTGGTAGGCCATGATAATTCATGATTGCAAAAGTTTATATTAGCATATCTGTGGAAATCTTACCAACAAAGGTAGTGGAAGGCATATCCATGTGAGTCATGATACATGTCGACCTTAAATAAACCCCTTTAAAGCGAGTCAGTTCTATCTTGAACACATAATTCACTGTCATTTACTGGTCAAAGAAACTTTAGAATATTAATACACCCGATGCCAAGTATTGCTATACAGCAAATCTTTTTACCTTTTTTCCCAAAACATTATACATATTACATTCATATCAAGATCCAATTAACTTTTAAAGAGCTGCAAATCAATTAAGTCAACGCTTGCCCTATTCCCAATACTGTTAAAGCTAAGATGTTTGATGGGAATATTCTTTTGTCCCCATAGATCACTGGTTTGAGGCCATTTATTCTGTGTTGGAGAGACTCAAATGAGATTTACCACACTCACAGATATAATATAGACTGGAATCTGTTTCTGGTAATAGTGAATTCCATCATCTTTCATTTTCTCTCATCTCCTCATCCATGGGTTGTATGTACCCAAAAAAACTATTAGTTATGTCATGTACTCAGACACTTCAGCAGCAAGGAGGGGTTTGCACGTTAGAACCACTTGAGAGTTGACCTGTTCTTCGGTTAGAAGTTCCTTCTGGTATTTGAAAAGCTGACATTTCCTGCCGTCATCGACTGGATCAACTAAGTCAAACTTTCTTCGTCTAATCCAACCATCTCTAAAGTCAATATTTAGTGGTTGAAGATATAATTGGGCTAGGGAAGTTATGCGGTACGGCGTTAAAAAAAAGGCTAAAAATCGGTATGATAGGTTAAATAAGTGACCGGTTATGTTATATCATTTAACCAGAAACATTATCAAGTACAATAACATATTAGGTACCTCTTATATAATAAAATAAGTTAATTACTATAAACATTATCAAGCACAATAACATATTAGGTAAAACTTATATAATGTAATAGGTTGAAGTGCTAGATAATGTTTCTAGTAATTAACCTATTTTATTAAATAAGCGCTACCTATTACATTATATAAGCACAACCTATTACATTATATAAGCGCTACCTAATATGTTATTATGCTTGATAATATTTTCAGTAATTAACCTATTTTATTATATAAGCGCTACCTGGAGAGTGAGGAGGTCGCCTAACCCTCCGAACAAGAAGATCGATACTTTACAATATAACAGGTAAAAATATGACAAAACCAGTAAATTTTACCTTATATGTTGAAAGTATAGATACTTTTTATAAAAATGTATTGATATTTTGTTGAAAGTTATGTAATTTATGTTTTAAAAAAAATTAATAGTGTTTCATGTTTTCACCTACAATATTAATTTAATAATTTCATTTACAAAAAAAAATTATTTGATTGTTTGATATTTTATAAAAATATTATTTAGAATTTAAATTTTAACAATTAACTAAAGATAATAAATATGTAATATCTATGTTATTATTTTTAATTTAATAATAATAATATAACATAAAAATAAACCATTAGACGTGTATAATTATTAAATTAATATCTTAAAACTCACTAAAAAATAACATAACGGTTATTTTTAATAGTGGTTTATTTTCTACTTACAATATAATTTAATAATTTCATTTACACAAAATTATTTGATTGTTTTGATATTTTATAAAATATTATTTAGAATTTAAATTTAACAATTTTAACCAAAGATAATAAAATATGTAATATCTATGTTATTATTTTAATTTAATAATATATATCGTAACATAAAAATAAACCATTAGCGTGTATAATTACTAAATTAATATCTTAAAACTCACTAAAAAAGATAACATAACCGGTTATTTACTGGAAACTTATCAGTCTAATAATGTAAACGTAAAAAAAATATGCGCTACTATTACATTAAACTACCTACTGGATGTGTGAAGTGTCGATTCCATTTAATAAGTATCGACACTTTGGAATTACCAAGGATAAATAACCGGTTATTTACTGGAAACATATTAAGTATAATAATGTAAACGTAACAAAAATAGGCGCTACCTATTACATTAAACTACCTACCGGATATGTTGAAAGTGTCGATTCATTAAATAAGTATCGACACTTTTGGAATTTAAAAGAAAAGCAGTAATAGCCTATAAAGTATCGATACTTTATAAAAATAAATCGATACTTTACAATATATTAAGTAAAAATATGACAAAACCAGTTTCATTATGACAAAGCCGATAGAATTTATCGGATATGTTGAAGTGTTTGATAATGTTTCCAGTAATTAACCTATTTTATTATATAAGCGCTACCTATTAATTATATAAGCGCTACATATTACATTATATAACGCTACCTATTACATTATATAAACGCTACCTATTACATTATAAAGCGGTATCTATGTTATTGTGCTTGATAATGTTTCTAGTAATTAACCTATTTTATTATATAAGCGTTACCTATTACATTATATAAGCGCTACCTATTACATTATATAAGTGTTACCTAATATAACATGTAAAAATATGACAAAACCAGTTTCATTATGATAAAACCGGTAAATTTTACCTAATATGTTGAAAGTATAGATACATTTTATAAAAATGTATCGATACTTTGTTGAAAGTTATGTAATTTATGTTTCAAAAATTTTTAATAGTGTTTCATGTTTTCCACCTACAATATTAATTTAATAATTTCATTTACACAAAAATTATTTGATTTTTTGATATTTTACAAAATATTATTTAGAATTTAAATTTAACAATTTTACCCAAAGATAATAATAAATATGTAATATCTATGTTTATATTTTTAATTTAATAATAATATATCGTAACATAAATAAACATTAGACGTGTATAATTACTAAATTAATATCTTAAAACTCACTAAAAAATAACCTTAAATTAATGTTTTCCACAGTAAAATAAGTATGGACACTTATATATATATATCGATACTTATCGATAACCAAAGTTAACCGGTTACTAAATTTTTTAATAGTTTTTATTGTTTTCTACCTAAAACATTATTAGTCTGTCAACATAATAAGTAGCGCTAAACTGAATTTATTTAATATCTTTTAATATATCCGGTAATGCCGTATATTAGTCGCCTTTCATTAGACAATCCCAATTGGGCTAACATCATTAATAGGATTTTTAGTTCTTCTTTTCAACCTATCATCCCATAAAATCAAAATTTCACCGCCGAAGTTTCCTAAGATCACCCTATCCTTGTTCAAGTCACTAAACTATGTCACATGGACTTCTAAGTTCTAATATATACCATTTTGTGTACAACAGATTCATGCAGTACAAAAAGTACGAACAGTTCTGGTCTTTGATCCTTATTATCACCAAACATGAAGGGTTTGCATGCCGACTCACAGTCGCTAGTGGATATGACTATAACTTCATGATATTTCATCCATACAATCTGCCAGGTAAAGTCATAATCATCTGGCCATCGCTGAATGATAAATAGTATCTGAAATGGGCCATTATTGTTGGTTTCATTGAATGGTGAGCTATAATAAGATTGCAACAGAATAGACTAAGGTACCTACTCTGTCAAAAGATTTTTATTATTTGTTGGGTCACAAGGCCATGTGATTCCTCACAAGAAATGTCTCTAAAGCACTCACTCTTTCACTCTTCACCGCTCAATTTGCTTGAGATGGCTTCCCAATGGCCATAAAGCATTTGCTCTCTATAAATACAAATTCTAAGGGTTAGCTTGCCACCCTGCACCAATTGCCTAAGCCATTCCTTGACAGTCTAGACAGTCATGGGTTTCCACTTGCAGAGAATTGCTAATGCTAAGAGGATGGTAAAACGGACTCTTTCATCTTCGGAGACGACAATGGTGCCCAAAGGCCACTTTGCTGTTTATGTTGGAGAAGCTGAAAAGAAGAGATTTGTTGTCCCAATATCATTCCTGAAGCATCCTTCGTTCCAGAATTTGTTGAGTCAAGCCGAAGAAGAGTATGGATTTAGTCATTCTATGGGTGCTTTAACTATCCCCTGCAGCGAAGAAGCTTTCATTGAACTCGCCTGCAATCTGCAAAGCTCTTAAGAAGAAATGACATAAAATGTATATACATGGTGGATTGCTTTCTGCGATCCCATGTTCGCCCTTGTAAACTTAATTGTTTTTTCTAGCAAATATATAAATGACAATTTATTAAAGAGAAAATGTTGACTCGTTCTTTTCATGAGTTTCGCCTCTTGTACTAGCAAAGTACATATTCTTTTTTTTTTCCTGGAACTGGGTCTATCAGCAGCAGATTTTGCAAAGTAAAACATCAAACAAAAGTACTAACAAAAGTTTAATATTTTGATGCGTATGATAAAGGTTAAAGTAAAGTTACAAAATTATCAAATATTCCAAACTCATCATTTTTCGTCAAAATCCTATTTATACGTTAACATACTGACTGTGATATGAGAAAATCAGATTTTAATGATGTATACTGGCGACGTTGCTTTCAAACATTGGCTCGACGACATAATATTTAAAGCATTAGCTCGATAACATAATGTAAACAGAGATTCGGTCCACAAAATACAACTCAAATGGTTTTGAGATAAGATTTTATCATATCATAGTGAGTAGATTAACGTCCAGCTCATACGATAACCAAATTTTTAATGAAAAATGACGCGTTTGGAACATATGAATAACCATATAATTATTTTGTAACTTATAATAGTCAAAATACTTAATAAAATATCACCTTATAACTAGAGGACTATTTTATAACTTTCAATAGTAAGATACTCAACAAATCAGCCATTTGTATGCTTTACCGATAAAGAAATCAAGGAGAGGTTCGTTCAACTCAGAACTACTTGAGGGTTGACCAGAGAGTCCTTATCCTCACGAGAGTAGAAAGGTTGACTTTCCAGGCTAAGTCACTTAAAAAAGGTTTCAGGACAACTAAAAGAAAATATTTCTTGGTCTAATTCTTGGATCTCTAAACTCTGAATTCAGTGATTGTAGAGGGGATTAGCTTAATACCATAAACTATAAGGTTGGTTCGTGGTTTAGTTTAATCAATCATGCTTTGAAAATCGAGGCTCAACTGTTCACGTTCTCTCGAGGTCTTCCCCCCTGTTCAGTGCACCAAACAATTGCACATGCACTGATAACTTGTTTAATTATGTGTTCAACATAGTTGCAGTCGTAGAAGAAATAAACAAGCAGCTGTGGATCATCAACAAACATGTAGGGCTTTGGATACAGGTAGATAGTTGCTAGGTGATGGTCTCCACTTCATAGCATTTCATCCATATGAGATGCTACGTGCTAATTAAGCAAAGTCATAATGATATTAGTAAGACCACAATGAGCACTGTTGTTGGGATGCAAGGCCATGTGATTCCTCCCAATTCATGTCTCCAATGCATTCTTTATTCACCACCCAATTAGCCCGAGACAGCTCACCAGATACAGCATTTGCTCCTTATAAATACAGATTCTAATGGATAGCTTCACCAAATGCCAAAGCTGTTCTTAGATACTTCTCTAAGTTTCAATTCCACTCTCTCATTTCCTCATCTTTAACAACCTCACAAACACCATGGGTTTCCGCTTGCCAATAATTGTTAACGCTAAGCCGAGTCTGAAACGGACTCTTTCATCTTCGGAGACGACGGTGGTGCCCAAAGGCCACTTTGCTGTTTATGTTGGAGAAGCTGAAAAGAAGAGTTTCGTTGTCCCGATTTCATTACTGAAGCATCCTTCATTCCAGAATTTGTTGAGACAAGCCGAAGAAGAGTTTGGTTTCAGTCACCCTATGGGTGCTTTGACAATCCCTAGTAGTGAAGAAGCTTTCATTGATCTCACTTGCAGCCTGCAAAGCTCGTGACAAGAAATGATGTGAAAATAGGCTAACCAAACAGAGATTAACTGAGATTTAGCTCAACTGACACCTCCCAGATTTTATTTTTTTGGAAGCAAGTGTGTAAGGTGGACTGTTTTCTGCAATCCCATGCCCTTGTCAACTAAATTAAGTATTGTAACCAATATATAAATGCCAAATTTCTTTCAGAAAAACCCTTTCTTTTCATGAATTTTGACTCTGACGTTGTGTTGGATAATTTCAACCATAATATATTTTCCAAGGTCTGAAGCATTTTATTTCACTCCTGTTTTAAAAGGGTTCCCATATATTAATAAGGTCTGAAGCAGTATGTTCTACTTTTAACTAGTTAAGGATCGGTTCTCATGGTAGTCGAAGAGTCGACTTCCCCGGCGGTGTCGGCTAAACCCCTTCTCCCCAACGATAAGGTTTCATGGCAACTAAAATGAAAGTTTGTCTTGTCTAAATCCATGGACTGTAATCTATACTTGTCGACAATGGAGGGTTAGCCTAATACTATTGATTACAAGATTGACTAGTGCTTAACATATTTTCCTCGCATGTTGAAAGCACAAACTAAACAATGTCACTTGGATCGGCAACTACTTTCATTCTCTGTACGACGCAGTCATAGAACAATGTCACAGGCAGCTTACAAGTCTTTGATTCAACTTACCAGGAAACATGTAAGGCTTTCCATGCCAAGTCGTTTTTCTGTTTACCACTCAACTACATTGCATTTCATCCATATGATCTGCTGAGTTAATGGCATTTCATCTGATAAATAATATTCCAAATGGGCCAGTCTTGTTGAACAGAAGCTTAGGTACCAAATTTGTCAAAAATGCCATGGTTAGTTGGGTGGCAAGACCATGTGATTCCTCAAATCATGTATTTTGAAGATTTTTCCATTGAAATTTCTTTTCGACCACACACATTCAACCTGAGATTTCTTGACCAATGCCATAAACCATTTTCTAACCCGCTATAAATACACATTCTAAGAACAGCCCCACAGTGCGAAAGCCTTCCCAATCAAGCCAGTTACATTTCTTCTATCTTCTACACATAAAAATGAATCGAAGTTCATCACAAAATCATGGGTTTTCGTTTGCCGAGGATTGTTAACGCTAAGAGTCTAAAACGGAGTCTTTCGTGATCGGAGACGACTGTGGTGCCCAAAGGTCACTTTGTTGTTTATGTTGGAGAAGCTGATCATGAAAAGAAGAAATTTGTTGCCCCTATTTCATTTTTGAATCACCCCTCGTTCCAAAACTTTCTGTGTGAAGGTGAAGAAGAATATGGATTTAATCATCCTATGGGTGGATTAACAATCCCCTGCAGTGAAGAAGCCTTCCTTGATCTCGTTTGCAGTTTCCAAAGCTCATGAAAATTAGATTGGAAAATCGCTAACCAAGAAGACATTAACTCTGCTTAGCTCAACAGACAAATACAAGTTTGTTTTACATAGGAAGCAAGTGTAATTGGTGGATTGCTTTATGCAATCCCATGCACTTTATAAATGAAAAGACAACAATTTATTTTATTCAAACATATTCTTGTCATTGATATTTTTGTTCCGACTAGTTCTATCAATCAACTAAATTAATTTTTGTAATCAACATTTAAATGAAATCATGTATTTGCTGTCGCAGGCATTCATTGTAATGGTATGTTATTGGCCTAGGCAGGAACACACTACATGAGAAAGTACTTTAGACAACTTCACGTATATAATATGGACTTGTCTTGTAAGTTTCCTATAGATCTCTTCGTTGGCAGTATGGCACACATAAGGCTAATATGTGTATGTTTTAGAGGCCAAAACCGCTATTAAAATTTCCTATAGACCTCTTGTTGGCAGTACGGCACACATATTGCTCTTTACTTCGATCGAACAAGTGCTTTTTTGTGCCTAACACCTGCGGCAATATAAGGGTGCTGATGCCTAGAGCGCTGCACTGTTTATAACACCGTTTAGGACTCGATCATGAATTCTAGACCCTATGGATGCCAATAGTATGATTAAAGATTTAAAAGGTATTAGGGAAGAGTCATAGCAAAGTAAAGGCCAAAATAAATGTACACACATTCCTATAACTTCAGCTTCAAGTGGGGGAAAGAAAGGATTTGGTGCTCTTCGTTGTAGCACAATATAGTGAAGCCTCAAATTGTTATTCTAAAAGCAAAGAATCATTAAGCACATGCTCCCATTAAAGCAAGCAAGCTCCATAATCAAGACAATTTCAAGAAAAACAAATCACCAATTCCATATATAAGATAACCTTACTTGTGTAGCTAATCTTGTACAAGTCATTAGCTTGTTGAAATAAAAGAAAGAAACGCCTTAAAAGTAATAAAATTCAAAATTCTACTAAAGCGAAGAACATTCCATTTTGATTGTGGGCTTAGAGATCATCCTTAACTTCTTCCTTAATACCTAACAGCTTAGCCAACTCTCCACTCTGGTATGCTTCAACAGTATCTGAAATTAGAAACATTGCTTGTAAATTCTCTACTGATTCTATCTTCCCAGCATATTCCAATTGCATGAAGCTACAAGGGTTAAATTTGCAGGAAAAGAAAAACAAAAGTTACCATCTGAGCCTCCTATGTGTTTTCCATTAATGAAAACCTGTGGCACAGTACGCCTACCGACAATCTCACTCATCGCATCCTGAATGCTCCACCCATCATCTGACGAACACAAAAGAAAAGTAACTCTTTCAACTTCAAGCATTTCAAGTAGGATTGTAAATGAAACGAGACACATCGCAAGTTACTCGAGATCGACTCGGTCAAAACTCGGTTAACTCTCGAATTGAATGAACTTGACTCGAGCTCGAACTCAACTCAAATTCTTAACGAGCCAAAACGAGATACTTGATACCCAACTCGAAAAGCTTACGGGCAACTCGAAAAATGATATATTCAATTTTTAGATTTTTTAAATTAAATTATTAATAACATTAACATTTATGTGCTGTTATTTTTTTTTAAATACAATATAAAATTTTCATGTACTTACGGTTCATGCTCAAGCTCGAGTTTGAGCTTCAATAGAGCTAAGTCTAATAACATTTCGAGTTCAAGTTTTTTCGAAGTCCTTGAAAATTTTGAGCTAAAGAGCTTTAAAATCGACTTCAATTTTTTATTTCAAGTTTCGAGCTTGACAATTTTAAGCTCGTAAGTTTTCGAGTTGCTCGATTCGGCTCTTTTACTGCTCTAATTTCAAGTTCAAAATCGATAGGATGCTACTACTGTAAATTTCAGTTGAAGCTAGTAAAATCTAAGAGAAACCAAGACTCTGCTGTACCAATTTAGTTCAGCCTTTCTATCTCACAAGCAAAGCGAAATTTGCAGCTAAACAGTAATTTGTGATGTACAAAATAAAATTGGGAATTTAATTATCAACAGACCTCGCTCATCAAGCTCCACAACGAACGGAACTTGGTTTAACTCCTTGAACGCGGCTTTTGCCCTCTTACAGTACCTGCATAACACCAAACAAAGAATAAATTTTAGCCCAGACGTCAAATTTAGTTGCCAATATATATTAGTAAATATTTTGGAATCATAATACTTAAAAAGTGAGAGATTGTATCATATAATACTAAAAAAGAGAGAAAATCAGAACAACATTATAGATCGAGAAAGAACACAAAGCAAGCTAATTGATTTTTCTCAGTTTGAATAAAAAATCATTAATAAAAAAAGAATTGATGAGAAGAAAATTGTACGGGCAATAAGACTTTGAGAAAATGACGATCTTATGGGCAGAAATGGTCTTTTTGACGAAAGCAGCTTCAGGCGAATCAGCCGACGAAACCCAACACAGAGATGCTGTAATTACCAAGATTGACGCTATCAAGATTTTCACCGGCGCCATTATAAGCCTACCCCTCAACCTCTGTGTATGCTCTCACGGTAGCGATTGTTAGTATTTATGCTTTACAAATTAGATCTCGACTTGTGAAATACAATTTTTTTTTCTTTTGTAACGAAGATTGAAGCAGCCGAAAACCAGAGGTCAATTTCGTTTGATATTGAAATTGGGCCACAACCCAATAACCTTAGGAGATCATGGGAAACCAATGAAGCCTTTAATTTCCCAAGCCCGTTCACTAAAAAGGCCGAAGCTGATGCGACTGACCCAGAGATTAGAAGAGATGTCGAACTCGCAATCAGTTCAAGTAATCGGAATGAGATTATTTCACTTAGTTTCCCTATACTTATTTTTTTAGTAGTTTGGGTAATTAAAAATTAATATTTGTTCACATCGACATATACATTGCAGATGTAACTGCTCAAACCCTAAACTTTAAAGAAGAACAACATTTTTCGAAGATATAAATGAACATTATGAACTAAGTCTTTAAATCGTTATCATTGATGTTTTCCTATATATAGTTTTATATAACATCTAATTTGTCATTGATTATTTTTCTATGACCAGTTTTATATTACATCTAATTTTTCCTTTAGAAGTAAACGATATAATTAAACAAACATATTCTTTTCATTGATATTTTTGTTTGATCATTTCTATGTTATATCTATTTCGGAAAAAAAATAAATTAAGGCCAAATGTTCAACATTCTTAATTACTTATTCATGAATGATTAATTCAGAAAAAAGATTAGAAGGAGAGAGTTAGATATTAGATGCATATGTATAATCAAACAATTAAAGAAACATGAGAGTTTGATTTGTCGTGAATAAATATTAACTCTGGTTTTAATTAATCATTGATATATGATTTATTGACTAATTAATTTAAATTAAATTTTGTAGATGTGCATTATAAGGATAATCATTTTAACGCAGTTTACTCCATTAACACAAGTATTAACTCTTTGATTAGGCTTTTCCTGTGTCTTGGTTGAAAACACGGTTGTAAATCAAGGGAAGGGACGTTTTTTGCACTCCTATCCCTGGGTGAATCAAGGAAAAAAGAATTAGGGATTAAATTGTATAGCTTTACAAAGTCCATACTTGAACATTGACTTTACCCCCTTTTCTTTTCAAAACTAAATACTAGCGGCTTAAGGATAAGCGATCAGCTAAGCTTGCGTGGCGCCGGGTTATGTATTGGACTAGGACCCACATAAAAAAAGACTTAGCTAGCATCCGATGGGCCTCAGTAACATAGTTTGCTGTTTAGTTAGGAACGAACCAAACTTCCCACATCGCTAGATAACTGAATAATACGATAGTTCATATACAGGAAAGAAACAACTTAAGAATGTCCCTTCGGGGACATCCGATAAAATTGGAACGATACAGAGAAGATTAGCATGGCCCCTGCGCAAGGATGACACGCACAAATCGAGAAATGGTCCAAATTTTTTTCTTGATTCTTTTTGCAAATTTTACAGCTCTGTTTACTTGGGAACCTGACTTTTTACCGCTTCAGATTTTTGTTTATTTATTTTTCTGGGTTTGTTTCGATGTTCACCTTCATGGCGTGGGGGGGGGGGTTCACTTCAGATTGCAGTTTAGAGATCCTCTGGGTTTGTTTACTAATTTGTTTTTGCAAATTTTTTCTGGGTTTGAATATCATCTTCACGGGTCTTGTGCACTTAAGATTTCAATTTAGAGTTTTTGTTACTGAGTACATGCTTCCGGTGGTTATACAAAGAAACTTGAAGAGTGTAAATCATTGAACGCGGAGCAGATTGCTTGGGAGAAAATCGCTGAGCTTGAGAATAAGCTCAAGACTAAGTAAGAGGAAGTTGCCCAGCTAAGAGGGTCATTAGCTTGTTATTAGGAACATGGGGTAGATGGAGATTTTATAAACGTTGTAAGGAAGTTGGAGGCAACAATTAAAGAGTTGATAGAAAAGGGGGAATAGCTTATGGATGTAAAAACATTGAATCAATCTCTTATTGCAAGGGAGCTTATGAGCATATATCAGCTGCAGGATGCTAGATGCTCGCCAAAGATTGATCACTGTAAGCTAATTTTTGCTTTACTTACTAAACTGTTTGCCTCATGATACAAATACAGCATGAGTAGCCTTGTGTTGCAAGTTGATGGCAAAATGTTTATCTGTTGCAATCTTTCATCCTTATTTTTTCTAGGTATCCCTTGGAATATTAAATTAGTGATAGATTGACTGGATTCTGGTTTCTATTGTTACCATGAGTGCAAGAAGAAACTTGCTGGTGACGACTGATATTTCAAATCCATGGGATTAAGCTCATTACGGCAAGAACATAATAAGAATAAGCTGCATCCTTTCAAGATCAACCATGAAAACGGCTGAGTACATTATGTTGACATAGTGCACTCATACATCATATCTTAAGTAGTTGAAGTTTCAACCTCTAATGAAATGTTAAATGATAGAAAAATATGGAATGATCATTCGAGGTCGGTTGATATTTTGTCTTATAGAACATTCTTAGGCAACTTATGACATGGGCAGAACAAATTATTAACCAGCGTGGTTTACTTCTTTTTGTGTGAGCAATTGATAAATGATGAAAGATTGATGGAGTTGCGAAACAAATGAGGTGAAATGATATACAAGGCTGTTACTGGTGCCTTTTGGTAAACCTTAAGATGTCAAAGCTTTTTCTTTCAGAGCAGAGCGGCGGAAAATATGCTTAGCGGCAACAACACCAGGCAGACAAATTGCCATATCTTTTCCATTGATCGAATCACAAGATTCCAAAGTATTTGTTCTGTTGGTAGGCTTTTGAAGGGTTGTAATGTGAAGCTTGAGTTAGCTTTTCATTTGTGATCAAAATATGCTGCTATATATGGAAGAATGATTAACAAGGAAATCATCTAAAGCATGGAAATGAGTGGCTATGCTTGGGTTTCATTAAGATAATGCTTAAGAGGTCTCACATTGTCTCTGTGATCTTCTATGAGATAAAGGGTTGAAATCATACATTGGTCTGTTTGTGGACAAACAATGTGCCCTAAAGTTTTAAAAGAAGACCAACCAAAGGCCAGCAAAAGATTGGAGTACTTGATGTAGACAGAAGAAAGAAATGAACAATGAGAGTTAGATATGGATGCAGATGCTTAAATAATGGACCGACATGATTGAGAGCCTGAGGCTGCTATAACAGAGGGCCCTTCGATCTTCAGATTGAACTTTAGTAGGCAATGGGGGTCAGGTTCCTATTAGTTGATAACTCTGGCCTGGCCTACAACTTAAAATGGAACAAAAAAGAGACCAATACAGAACAGGCTAAAGATTGGAAATGGACAGTTTGGCACTCAAGATTTTAAGCATATGAAGCTTTATGAGGTTGGCTACAACATGCTTCATAGGGCAAGCCCTTGTGATGAGCACCTGAAGTGTGTCATACAGGCTTGAACTTGTCAAAATGTTATTATTTGTTGGGATGCAAGGCCATGTGATTCCTCCCGATAGATATCTCCAAAGAACTTTCTCTTCACCACTCAAGTAGCCTTGGACTGCTGACCATATACAATATTTGTTCTTTATAAATACAAATTCTAAAGCATAGCTCCACCAAGTGCCAAAGCCTTTCCTAGCTACTTCTAAATTCCAATTCCACACTCAGATTTCCTCATCCTAACAATCACACAAAAACCATGGGTTTCCACTTGCCAAGAATTGTTAGGGCTAAACTGGGTTTGAAACGGACTCTTTCATCTTCAGAGACCACAGTGGTGCCCAAAGGCCACTTTGCTGTTTATGTTGGAGAAGCTGAAAAGAAGAGATTTGTAGTCCCCATATCATTCCTGAAGCATCCTTCATTCCAGACTTTGTTGTGTGAAGCTGAAGAAGAGTTTGGATTCGATCACCCTATGGGTGCTTTGACAATCCCTTGTAGTGAAGAAACTTTTGTCGATTTAACTTGTAATCTGCAAAGCTCATGAGATGAAATGACGTTAAAATTGGCTAACCAAGCAGAGATTGACTGATATTTAGCTCAACTGACAACCTACCAAATTTTAGTTTTAGGAAGCAAGTGTGTAAGTGGATTGTTTTCTGCAATCCCATTCCTTGTCAACTAGATAAAATTTTGTTAACTATATATAAATGCAGAATTTCTTTCAGGGAAACTCCTTGTCATGAATTTTGTTTCTGATGTTGTGTGGATAATTTCAGCCCTAATCTATTTTCCATGATCTGAAGTCTTTTATGCCATCATTTATCACTTAATCTATAATCTATCACTTCTGATTAAAAAGGGTTTCATGTATGAACAAGATCTATTTGCATGAAAATTCGACCTTTACAGGTTTTTTGGGATTTTGAAATATGGGGTTCAAATAAAGGTATCTCATTTTCGGAATATTTCAGTTTCTATCTGTTTCTTTGCTGTCACATACATCTTGGAAGGAATGCATAATATGAGAAATTACTTTAGACAACCCTTAAGCGTATGTTTCGAAGCCAGAACTGTCATTAAATTGAAAATTTAATTCAACCCTTTATTGCTGATCTTCCCGGGCTTAAGAAAAAAGAAGTGAAAGTCGAGATTGAAGATGGCAGAGTGCTTCAAATCAGTGGAGAGAGGAACGTTGAGAAGGAAGACAAGAATGATACTTGGCAAAGGGCTGAACGTAGCAGCGGGAAGTTTATGAGGAGATTCCGGTTGCCTGAGAACGTCAAAATGGATCAATTTAAAGCTTCCATGGAAATTGGGTTTCTTACTGTTACTGTTCCCAAAGTGGAAGTGAAGAAATCTGACGTCAAAGCCATTGAAATTTCTGGTTAAATGATGGCTGTTGTTGGTTTTGTTGTTAACATTGGAACTTGCTTATTGGTCTTCGTGTGTTGTTCTATCGTGTTGAAGAGATGCGCAAAATCTCAAATTTGTGTTTATGGGTGTAATACTACCAGGTCCTCATCTATAATGTAAAAATGCTGGTATAAATGTGAAATGCAACTGTTGCTTCATTTTTTCCCTCTTAGATTCAGTTCCTATATCAAAATCGTCTCTTTTAAAATCACAAGATTTCTTAGTATTTGTTCTATTGGGAGTAGGTGTGGTAATGTGAATACTTGAGTTGTCTTTTATATGTGATCAATATAGAAAGAGATTTTAGAGCGATTGGATATGAAAAGCTGAAAAAGAGAGATAAGATCATCTGCAAAACAGGACATGTACAAAAATAATTTTTTACTCTAACATGCAAGCAACCAAGAAAAAATAAAAGCTATGTTGTTGAATAAGATAAGGTTATTCATCTTTGCCATGAAATTGTTGATAATGAGTTGGAAGACAACACCATGTGATCCCCCATTCCCCCTCATTTACCCATGTCTCTTTCATTACTCATCAGACCCCAGCAATTGCCCCTTCCTACTCCACTTGACTCTCATAATCCTTACATCTATATATACAGGTAAGAATAAGTTCATTTGACAACATTATCTTCACATTGTCAATCACTAAACACGTTCATCTTTGCTTTCCAACTTCTTTAAGATCTTCCTTCTCTTCCAGGTACACAAATCGATAAATAAAAAAAGAAGCGATAACCATGGCTACCCACGTCCCTCGTATTGTTAGTGTTAAGAAAGTTCCTAAGGACTACTTTCCACCAGAAGAGATTCGTGATACCCGTGTCGTTCCTGAACCAGCCTTCGTTTCAAGATTTGCTCGGCCTATCAGAAGAAGAGTTTGGTTATAGCCATCCTACTGGCGGTCTCAGGATTCCCTGCAACGAAAGCATCTTTCTTGAAGTTACCTCTCGCTTGAATTGATTGTCTAGAGAAGTAACACTAATCATTATTCAATTTTGTAAAGCAAACATCGACAATACCTTGTAGACACATTTTTTCCCATCTTTTTGCCTTGGGGAAGCAGATAGAAATGTCCCTAAGTGGAAATCTAGATTACTGTAACTTTTTCTATCAATCAATATGGAAAATCAATGTATATGAATGGCGTCATTCAATTGGAATTTTTGTTTCTTTTCTGAATTTTCAATGTCCCCTTGTTCTCTTTTGACCTTTAATTGCTTCTTTAGTTGTTATTAGTAGGGTTCTAAAAGGATCAATTCAATCATATTTTCAAAGGAAATTTGCTTCTGCAGATGGATATAAGCAACCCATGGTAGTCCTTTCATTTTCTATGCAAGGTGAGAAAGTCCTTATCCTCATTTTGCTGGTCTCCACTTCATAGCATTTCATCCATATGATCTGATGTGTTAATAAAGAGAAGTCATTTGAGACTGAAAGAGATGATCAAATGTGTACTCTTCTGAAAAATTATTTTAATACAAATTACAAGACGATCTGATAGGAACTGAATCCAAGAGGAGAGAAATAAAGCAACATTTGCATTTCACATTTGTACCAGCATTTACACTATAGATGAGGGTATGATAGTGTTACAAGCACAAACACAAATTTGAGACTTTGCTCACCACTTAAACAACACACGAGGACTTCTCAAACTTGAAGACAATAAGCAAGTTCCAGTATTAACAACAAAACCTTAAAAACAAGGATCATTTAACCAGAAATTTCAATGGCTTTTACGTCAGGTTTCTTCACTGCCACTTTGGGAACAGTGACCGTAAGAAGCCCATTTTCCGTGGAAGCTTTAACTTGATCCATTTTGACATTCTCAGGCAACCGGAATCTCCTCATAAATTTTCCACCGCTACGTTCAACCCTGTGCCAAGTATCATTCTCGTCTTCATTCTCAACGTTCCTCTCCCCACTGATTTGAAGCACCCTGTCATCTTCAATCTCGACTTTCACTTCTTCTTTCTTAAGCCCCGGAAGATCAGCCTTAAAGACGTGAGCCTCTGGGGTTTCCTTCCAGTCGATTCGGGCGTTGACAAATGCCGAGGTATACGAGGTTTGCCAGGTGACTGAAGAAGGGAAAGGGAAGTCCTTGAATGGATCCCAAACATCAAGATCGAAGATGCTGCTTCTCCTTCAGTTGCCGAAGAAACTCGGGATCATTGCCATTTCTCTTAGAGCACGAAACAGAGATTGAAGTGTTATTACCTAAGTATCTGATACTGCTTTCCTGATCATAAGAAGATAGGACATGTTGGGTATTTATAAGAAGCACTAGGAGAAATCTGGTATTTTCTGGAACTTTGTGTTGAGCATTAACTTGAATGATCTGGACTTATTTATTATTGATCAAATTAGAAAGATACACAAGGGAAATTATCCATACAACACCAGAAACAAAATTCATGGAAAGAAATACTCTCTTTAAAAGATTTGGCATTTATGTATTGGTTACAAAAATTAAATTAGTCGACAAGGGCATGGGATTGCAGAAAACAATCCACCTTGCACACTTGCTTCCTAAAAGTAAAATTTGGGATGTTGTCAGTTGAGCTAAATATCAGCCAATCTCTGCTTGGTTAGCCAATTCTCACATCATTGCTTCTCATGAGCATTGAAGATGGCAAGTGAGATCAATGAAAGCTTCTTCGCTACAAGGGATTGTCAAAGCACCCATGGGGTGATTCAAACCAAACTCTTCTTCAGCTTCACTTAACAGATTCTGGAATGAAGGATGCTTCAGGAATGATATGGGGACAACATATCTCTTTTTTTCAGTTACTCCAACATAAACAGCAAAGTGGCCTTTTGGCACCACTGTGGTCTCTGAAGATGGAAGAGTCCGTTTCAGACTCGGCTTAGCATTAACAATTCTTGGCAAGTGGAAACCCATGCTTTGGAGAGGTTGTTAGGATGAGAGTGTGGAATTGGAACTTAGAAGTAACTAGGAAAGGCTTTGGCACTTGGTGGAGCTATGCTTTAGAATTTGTATTTATAAAGAGCAGATATTGTATATGGTCAGCAGTCTCAGGCTAATTGAGCGGTGAAGAGAAACTGCTTTGGGGAAGGAATCACATGGCCTTGCATCCTAACAAATAATAACATTTCGACAAGTTCAAGCCTGTAGGACACACCTCAGGTGCTCTTCACAAGGGCTTGCCTATGAGCTACTGCAACCAAAGAACACAAGCTAGTGTTTGGCTCTTGGACATATCTTTTATCCAATTAGTCTAAAATCCCTTCCAACATTGCTTGTTTATATATTTCATGCATGTCTGAAGCACGTCGTAGCCAATCTCATAAAGCTTCATATGCTTAAAATCTTGAGCGATCAACTGCCCATTTCCAATCTTTAGCCTATCCTCCATTAACCACTTTTTTGTTCCATTGTAAGTTGTAGGCCAGGCCAGAGTTGTCAAATAAGAAGAATGCTTGTGGTAAAGTAGGAGCCTGAAACCCCCCCCCCCCATTGTCCACCAAAGTTCAAGCTGAAAATCAAAGGGTCCTCTGATATCAGCCTCAGGCTCTCATCCATGTTGGTCCATTATTTAAGCATCTGCATCCATATCTAAATCTCATTTTCATTGCATCTGTCTACTTCAAATACTCCAATCTTTTGCAGGCCTTTGGTTGGTCTTTTTTCAAGACTTTAGGGAACATTGTTTGTCCACAAACGTCTCTAGTATGATTTCAGCCCTTTATCTCATAGAAGATCGTAGAGACAAGACCATGTGAGACCTCTTAAGCATCATCTTAATGAAACCCGAGCACAGCCACTCATTTCCATGTTTTAGATGATTTCTTTTTGTTTATCATTCTTCTACATATAGCGGCATATTTTGATCACAAATGAAAAGCCAACTCAAGCCTTCACATTACAACCCTTCAAAAGCCTCCCAACAGAACAAATACTTTGAAATCTTGCGATTTGATCAACTGAAGAGCTATGGCAATTCGTCTGCCTGGTTTTTTCCCCCTAAGCATATTCTCCGCCGCTCCGCTCTGGAAAAAATAAATAAAAAGCTTTGACATCTTAATATCTACCAAAAGGCATCAGTAACAGCCTTGTAGATCATTTCACCTCATTCGTTTCTCAACTCCTTCAATCTTTCATCATGTTCATCAATTATCAACTGCTCACACAACAAGAAGTAAACCACACTGGTTGTGTTCTGCTCATGTAAAACGTTGCCTAAGAATGCTCAATAAGACAAATAAATCAACCCAAACCTCAAATGATCGTTCCACATTTCATTAGAGTTTGAAACTTCAATTGCTTTAGATATGATGTATGAGTGCACTATGTAAAAAAAATTACTCGGTCTTTTTGATGCTCCATATGTCATGACTCAGATCTAGTGTTTAGGATCTTCATATGGTTTAGAGTAAAAAGGCCTAAATCAATCATGGGTCCGGGTCCATATGCAAACTCAACTTCACCGTAACAAATTATTCCAAAAATGTATAGTATTCTTCTCGGTATGTATTGTAGACCCCAGATTTTGTCCTCATCCCAGCATTACACCAAGCTTCAACTAATGCATGTTTCTTGCCAACTCACAAGGATAAAAATACATGTGAGATCTGATCTAAAGCATGGTCACACCAAGTTGCTATTTTTTTATGTAAAATTATGTAAAATAAGGGCTATAAATAGCCGAATGAAAATGTAAGAAAAAGGGGAAAACAATTGTAAGGGGATTACTCTCGTTTTTCAGAAGGGGATAGCAATAAAATACAAATTTTTTTTCCAGCAAACCTAAGGTAGTTCAATTTATATTTCAGTTTTCTTTAATTTATTTGTTTAATTCGAATGCAACTAATAATAAGAATTTTAGTTTGTAATTTTGTTCGTAGTTAACGTAAATTCCATGAGTTAAAAAAATAATTAAAATAGAGATAGAGAGTTAAGTTACCTTGCTGCAGTACGTCGGAATAGGGGTGTCGTCGTTGTCGGGTCTAGAGTCGAGTGGTCGGTGTGGCTCTCGAGTTCCCTGGAAATTTGGGCCACCATGGTTGCTCTGTCACGCTGGTGAAGGAAAAGAAAGCAGAAGACTTAAATGAAAAACTGATATGGTTCACGTGTAGAAGGAAGAAAGGAAAAGATGTTAAGCTTTAAAATTTTTTTTGCTTAAATCACTTGTCAAACCATTAGTTTTTAGGAGCTTTATATTTTGTTCATATATATTAATGATTAAATCACGCATAATATCCTCATGTTCAGCGTGTTTTGTGCTTTGGTCTTATCAGGGTAAAATCACATTTAAACTCTCTTATTTTAATGCCCTTTTCATTCTGATCATATATTTTGTTATGTGTTTCGAATATGCATATTGATTTTAATAATCTTCGAATTTAGCCACTGTTATTTTAATTTTTTTATTTATTCGGATCCTTGTTTATTTTTTATTTAGTTATTATTTTATGTTTTATTACATTTTAGTCAACATAATTAGATTTTATTTCAATTTAGGCTCATGCATTTATTTTAAATTGATTGTTGAGGATCTTATTTGTTCATATTTATTTATTAGGTCATTTTACTTTAATCCTTTAATTTTCTGTTTGTGCTATTTTAGTACTTTATTTTTTTTTTTTGCTATTTAATATATTAAGTTTCTGTTTTTCTCTTGCAGCTCATTCCTATAGTTAATTCGATCCGTGAATTTTAATTATTTCTAATTTCTTTTTTTATATAGATTCTCTTTCGCACCCTTTTATTTATTTATTTACCTATTTTCTATTTTATCTTTTAATATTAACTCTTTGTCTTTGTTGGTTTTATTTTTTTATTTTATTTATGATTTTTTAGGGATAATTTTAATTGATCAAAAGGTAAATAATTATGATCGAATTTTTAAATTTAAATTTAAATTTAAATTTTTGTAATTAAGACAACCGATAAATTAAATGGTACCGAAAGGACAGTTCAAGGGTGCTAATCCTTCCTTAACTATAACCAACTCCCGAGCCCGACATATTTATGGTAAAACGTGGATCATGTAAGATGGTATCCGATCAATATAAATATTTTTTAAAATGATCAGTGGTGACTCCAATAATTTATTTCAAGTCGAAATCAAATTCAAGACTCACCCGAAAGTCGGTTGATGTAAAGTACCTTCGCACTGCACTTTATTCTTGTACGTCAGCACTGTCATGGACATGTTACATCGAAGGTCCCAATCCTCGATTGTTTTCGACAAATTCCGATACTAAAAAACATGAAATTTGACCACACAGCTCAATGAATCACTTTCAAGCAACCCAGTAAGAAAAACTCTAAATTGCAATCTTAAGTTCACAAAACCCGTGAATATGAAATTCATACCCAGAAAAATTTGCAAAAACAATTAATAAACAAACCCAGAAAAATAAATAAACAGAAATCTTAAGCGGTAAAAGGTCAGGGGAAAAATGAAAGAAAAAAAATTGGATCGTTTATCGGATGTACCCGAAGGGACGATCTAGAGCTGTTTCTTTCTTGTATATGAATAATCGTATTATTCAGTTCTTTTGCCATGTGGGAAGTTTGGTTCGTTCCTAACTAAACAGCAAACTATGTTACTGAGGCCCATCGGGTGCTGGCTATGTCTTTGCTTATGACGGGTCCCCGTCTGACACTTCAACTCGGCCCAGGCAAGCTCAGCTGATCACTTATCCTTAATCTATTAGAATCAGCTTTGAAAAGAAAAGTGATAAATCAATGTTTAATTCTGAACTTTGTAAAGTTTTCCGATTTAATCCCTAATTCTTTTTTCCTTAACTCACATTAGCCATGAAGATTAACAACTTTTTCTTAATATAGTTTCCGAATATCGATTCTGTCAAAGTATTATGACATGATACTCTAAATTATACTATATTATCACATAAAATGTTAAGTAATATTTTTGGGCATGAATCACGCCGCTATTATTGTTGCTGCAATTAAGAAGTCGTATAACAACTATAACAATTGATATAAAATCGATAATTAAGTTGTTGTCTACTGCCTTAAAGGGTTGAATCTAATCACAAACCGTCTAGGTTAATTCCGAAGAAAATCCATCAGTCAAACTTAAAGATCAACAACTATCATAATCAAATAAGAACAAAGCCAAGGTAGACGGCAACGCGCACGCAAAGAAGTTATCATGTCATATTCAACAAGAGAAGAAAATAAGTTCGCCTGCCTGGTGCTACTTCCGCTAAGCATATTCTAAGATATGGCAGTTCGCCTGGCTGGTGTTGTTTCCACTAAGCATATTCTCCGCCGTTCTGCTTCGACGTCATTAGATGTACCGAAGGGCTTAATTGCGGTCTGTCAACTAGATTGGTTAATAACACTATTTTCCAGTCTCTGATTTTTCTCAATAAGTTTAAGGCAAACCCAAATGACATGGCATGCTCATGAACAACGTCATGTTCGTAGGCACTTACTACAAAGCCTAATCAAAGAGTTCAATTTTATCAAAGGGAAATCCAATTTGTTATTCTTCCAGTTTGAATGTGCTTTGACTCCAATCTTTTACAAAATGGTTCTGAAACAGAGAATCTAATCTCATGATCAAAATATCTTTAGAATGAGAATCTAATAGCATCCACAGTACTTTTCAGCGTGGCTAACTATTGGTGCAGGCAATTCATGCTCCCTCAATCTATAATCAACCGAATTGACCAGCTTTGTTCCCGATTCCTTTGGAAAGGAACTGATCAGGCAGCTTATGGGGCTAGGGTCAGCTGGTCAAATATCTGCTGTCCCAAATCAGAAGGAGGCTTAGGTCTGAAGAACTTAAAAATTTGGAACACTGCTTGTATGATTCAGCTTATTCGTAATATTCTGGCAGGAGAAGAATTAACTAGGAATGATAATGTCAACTTAATTCTTAGTTGTAATTGGGGTATAGACTAACCATTATTTTGTTGTAAGTATTTGTTTATACTCCCTTTTGAGACGTTTTTTTGTAGCTACATTGCTTCTTTGGATAATAAAATTTTACTTATCCAAAAAAATAATAGCATCCACAGTAATACTTTGTTTTTTTTCCTCGAACACGTTCACCGACATCTTTTCGAAATGTATTGCTTCATTATAACTCAGAGATGTGCAGGAATCCAAATATTTCGACAGTTCCATTGTATTTGTTGGTACAAGCTCATACTGCTAAGCCCGGACGACAGATTAGCGTGATTGACGGGCAGAATCAACGGTTCAAATCTTTTACTGCCGGGCCCATGATAGCATGGTAATGTGACAGTGAGTGATATGAACCAACAGTTTTTACCGAGTTGAGTAATCTTTAGATGTACAATACAATTATATGCTGCTTGTTCGGCTTCATTAGGATCAGGTAATGGCCAATGGGTGTTTGTTGTTCTGCTTCCCTTATAGCATAGATGAAACATTTCGGTGACAGTAATTTTATTTTTAAGAAACACCAAATCTCCGGTATTTGATCTGAATGCTTTACTCCGAACTCGGTTAACGTCGACATGGTACCATTTGGCTGACAAACTTGTATCATTTGTCCTCCAGATTGCATAGCCTCGTGAATCAGAGACTGAGAAAAGATCCCTGGAGAGCAGTTTACAGTTTTGAGTGATGGAAGGGTAAAAAGGTATGTGTACTGCAGTTTGAAGCAGTAAGGGAAATGATCTCAAAGGATCTTACTATGTTGTCTTTTACATGACAAAAGTAACATGGCCTTCATGTGATGAACCAAAAGCCAAAGTCATTTTCAATCATAAAACAGAGAAATAATATATATATATATATTATATATATATATATTCCTCTCAGACACCTATCTTGGCTCAACAAAAGCACCGTATTTCGGTGATCGGTGGTGGGCCTTTCTCGTCTCCTCTGAGTTTTTTCAACCATTTCTTTCATTCACAGAACATGCAAGTGTCTTTCACAAATTGTGATAGATGAAGTAACTTGTTTGCTGTGTTTTTTGTTCCTTGTTGTTGCTGTAAATCTACCATTGATCTCTCAAACAATAATGCCATTAGTACTGAAACTTGATTTTTTGTCTTTCTTTCTCAGTTGGTCAACTTGTTAGGTTTATCACAAAGATGTGGAACCAAGCTAGGGGAGGAAGATACCAATGGTGGGCCTCATTTGAAGTGTAGCAATTAATAAATGTCTCTAAAAAACTATGAATATTTCTCTGTTTAAGTAGTGGAGATTTCAGCAGGACTACATTAAAAAAAAACCCATTGGCCCCTTGGGGACATTCTCTCAAAATTGCTGCACCCAACACTCGATGGGGCTTTTATTCCATGGCAGGCTTGGCTTCATTTTCATTTTGCTGATGAAATATGGATAAACTGAATTGACATACTGACCATGCAGCTGATGAAATATGGATAAACTGAATTGACATACTGACCATGCAACTCTATGATCAAAACCTACAAATCTAACAGAAGAAACCACAAGGGGTTTCTGCACAGAATCACAAAAACCAAAACAATCACCAAATTCCAAAAACCAACCAAACCGATGCACAGTACTCGCTCGTGCACTTATTACCGGTCCCTGGTTTCCGGTAGAGAGACGGAGAGATAACATTAGGGTAACACTAAAATATGAATAAGTTTCTTTTTTTCAGCATTAAAGTTTCAAAAGTAATGAAATAGTCGTTGACATTATCGTTTTATAATAAATCGGATTGTTAACACCTATTATCCCAGTTATAAAAGGTTTATGTGGCACATTAGCTTGGTTTACTTGATCAAAACTCTCTCTCAATCCCATTCGACTGATTGATGCAGCACCTTTACCCCACTAAGAAAAGAGATATTTTTGGAAGAGTGAGACCAAGATAGTCGAGTGAAGGTAAAATATGTCACATCAGTCGGTCAAGTGAGATCGAGCGTAATTTTGACCAAATAAGTTAGCCTAACATGTTACATTAGTCGATCAAGTGAGATCGAGCGTAATTTTGATCAAATAAGCTAGCCTAACATGTCACATCAATTTTTTGTTACCTGAATAACTTATGAGTGGTTAATTTTTTATAAAACAATAACGTTAATGATTATTTAAGTGATCATTTATATAGTTTACCTAGATTTAAATCGTGTTTGCATATATCGTGAAATCATTTTAAATTTATGGCAATCAAGTTGCGATTGCAACATTAGAGCTTAGCTAATAGGGAGAGAGGGTCCATGTTTTCATTAGGAGGACCAACAAATAATAGAAATTTCAAATGGGAGGGTTCGCTCTCCACCATGTCGTATGCGCATACAACAATTAACACATAATACCCCAAATAACACCCATGGTTTGTCCCTTTCGGCTTAGCCCCCACAGTCCCACATGACTCCTCAGGCTCAGGCTCTCTATCCATTAATAAATAGCACTCCATCTCTCCTCTCAATCCTCCCACAACAGCAATGGCAATCAGAAAACCATCCAAACTGCCTCAAACCGCAGTCCTCAAGCAGATCCTCAAGAGATGTTCGAGCTTAGGTAAGAAACACGGGTACGACGAAGATAATCTCCCACTCGACGTACCGAAAGGCCACTTTGCCATCTACGTCGGTGAAAACAGGAGTCGATATATCGTCCCGATCACGTTCCTGACTCACCCTGAGTTCCAATGTTTGCTCCGACGAGCCGAGGAAGAGTTCGGGTTTGACCATGATATGGGACTCACTATCCCTTGTGAAGAAGTTGTTTTTCGCTCGCTTACATCTATGCTTAGATGAAAATGGAAAACAATATACAATATTGAGCTGTGAAGGGGCCTGCCTTTGCCTTGGAGAAAGATGGCCAAGAGAAACATAGCTAGTTTCTCTTTTTTTAACATCATTTCTTCAACGTGCTTTTTGGTGGATTTTTTTCCTTTTTTTCTACTATTTTGAACCCATCAATTAGGGTTTTTAATGTTTAATTAATTAGTCATTAGTGAATCTAACTTAGACCCAGGAACTATGACATCTTCCGGCGGGTTGATTATTTGTAAAAAAGTTGTGTTTTCTCGCAGATTGTGGAACTGCGAGCGAAAAGTTTGATGTTAATGAAAACCTTATTCAGCTTCACAAGCTCCACTTTTCTCTCTCTCTCTCTTGTTGAATTATTGTTCATTTCAATATGAATAATGACTAATTCAAGATTTTATATTAAATGACTAACTTATAGAACTTTAATTAAACGAATTTTTAAAATAAACTAAACCAAAGTGAAAGACGTGAGAAAAACATTAGAATCAGTACCATGGGCGGTCATGTAATTAAATCTTTGGGAAAAAGATTAATTATTTAATTAAATAATAAATAGTTTTTTTTTCAAAATTTCATAAAAGTTAACCTTTTAAAACTTGTAATTAGAATAATTGTTTGATACAATTTTCTTTTATAAAATAATAGAAAAAGTAAAGACATGAGTAATTGTCATCTTAGTTGACTATTAGTATTGGGGGTATGCTCTTTACTCCATCAATGATATGATCTGATCTAATCCTCATAATCCTAATCCAATAATAATTATTGTATGTGATACATCGCTCTCACGTTTGCAAAATTCCATTTTGCTTCTCCCTCTCACTCTCTTAATCTTTTAAATTTATTGTTTAAACTTATTCGCATCACCTCCGAGTTGAAAATATTAAAATTTAAACTCGAAACTTGTCGAATATTGTCTTAAACTCGGATAGAATCATCTTATCTTTTCTTTTAATGCATGGTTCGCCTCTGAGATGGTAATTCGTCCATCTGAAAGCTGAAAGTACAGTATAAAAGTACCCGACGCATAAAAACAATGCTTGACTTGAATTACTGGAAAAAAATGAGTTGGATGTGCAGACATACGAAAGTCTCACCAGTTGGCTGCATGCTTAGCTACAGTAGGTTGTCTCCTTTGCATGCCCCACACCCCATGCTCTACGCAAATTCTTACCCTAATCTAGAGTTAGATGCACCCGTTACTCTCACGATTCACGAATAACAACGACCCAACTGCTCGACAATTTAAGGGGAATCGGAAAGAGCTTTGAAGGGTAGTTCTCCGATTAAGTTTAATAAAATTATTAATTAATTAAAGGGTTAAGTACACAAATGGTCCCCCAACTATAGGACGTTGCTTTGTTAAGTCTCTGGACTATTAAAATTTACAAAATGATCATCCTACTATTCATATATTCCAAACTTATTATATTCTGTTAAAAGTTGACAGTCAATTGAGCTGAACGTTAACTTGCTGACTAGGATATGATCAAATATGATCCCAAAATCTATGAGATGTACTTTATGGATCGAGTCTCTGTTTATATTATATCGTCATCCAAACCAGTGCTTGATCAAAGCAACAACGGTGCATGTATACATTATTAAAATATGATTTTATCATATCCAAATCAAAGTGTTAGCGTCCAGCTCAGACGATCGTCAATTTTTTAACGGAAAATAACGAGTTTGGAACATTTGAAAAGTTTGTGTCTATTTTGTAACTTTAATAGTCGTGATACTCAACAAAGTAGCACCCTACAGTCGGTGAATCATTTGTGTACTTTAACCTTAATTAAACCTGTCACATAGTTAAGTTAATAAAATATTTTTATTAAGATAAATTACATCAACGGTTACTGTTCGGTAAATTTCCTTTTCATCATTGAAGTTTCAAAAGTTACGAAATAATCATTAATATTCCATTTTGTAACAAAATATCACTTAATCATTAATAGGCATAATTGGCATCACCCCAATAACTAAAATCTGATGTGTAAATTTTGAATTTGATAGATTGTTAATAGGATATTGTTTTGTTGAGTCTCTTGACTATTAAAAGGTACAAAATGGTCTCCGACTACAAGGAGTTGTTTTGTTGAGTCAATCGACTATTAAAAATTACAAAATGGTCACCTGACTATTTATTATGTTCCAAACTCATCATTTTCCGTTAATAAATTGACGATAGTCTGGGTTGGACGTTAACATATTGACTAGGATATGATAGTTGTTTGAGATTATGAGATCAAATTTTATCATATCTTAATCTACATGTCAACGTCCAACTAATTTTGATATTAATTTTTAACAGAAAATGATAAATTTTGAATATAATAAATATTTGGATACCATGCTATAACTTTTAATAATAAAAAAAATTAATAAAATAATATTATATAATCTATGGACTATTTGATTACTTTACCCTTAATAAAATATAATTCGCTTAATGAGAACAAAATCGAATTCTTCCTTCTCAAGCTGAGCAACGCTCATTTACCAAAATTATCCCGACCTTAAAAGGACACCTCGACGAATGAATATGAAGGAGTGGGGAGGGACAAAATTGTCTTATTGAAAAAGGCTCTAATGTGTACGAATCTGTACTGGATGGTGCCCGTCAATCTTCTGCGGAAAAACCGCTTTTCTGTCAGAGCATTTGATAAAATCACCGAGCTCCCCTTCGCTCTATTCAAAGTTTAAAGCTTCTTCCACAATTTTAGCGGGCTGTTATATACCCTCTTGGGTACCCAACGGTGGACATTAGCATCAGTTCTGCCGCTGATGAGAAGCACGTGATTATTACCCCACGTAGTGTGAGCTTAAGAGAAATCTAGAGGTTGATGTATGTTATTTATGTATATATTCGTGGACTCCACCGTGACGTAGATCTCATGCATGCATGACACTTCGAAGCACGCATTTTACAATAAGCTCATCCTTTATAAAAGTATATGCAAAAGCAACATTATAAAAGACATTGAAAAGAATGAGTGGGGCTTGTTGAATGGGTTGGGTGAGTCCTCTCAGCATGGGAGCCAAGAAGGGCCGAGGTCACTGATAGATCATGATTATTGGGAGTATTCGTTTTTTTTCAAAAAAAATAAATTTTATATAATTTTATATTTATATATTCAATTAATATTTTTTTAAATTATTTTAAAAATCATTTTATAATATAAAAATTATACATCCGTTCAGATAAAAACAGCCCTAAAAGTAGTTGTTGAAGGAAAAGTGCAACATTATCCCATCAGAACCTAGGTAATTATTGGCCCCAAATCCTAATCTTATATTCGTATTTGACCAATCAAATTACTCAAATTGGAATGATTAAACAGACTGAATTCCATCATAAACAAGCACCGTCTGCTGAGCACCACCCAATTGGCTTATCAGTATCCCCGGGACCACCTCCAGGTTCCCGTCCATACTTTTAACTGCCCCTAGACCGCCATTAATTATTCACCCCTCTTATGAGTTAGGATTTAGTATAGTTATCTATAAAAGGATAAAGTACACAAACTATCCCTCAACTATAGGGTGATACTCTGTTAAGTCCCCTAACTATTAAAAGTTATAAAATAATCATCTAATTATTCATATATTTCAAACCCATTCTTTTTTGTTAAACAAATTATAATTGTCTGATATATGCGTTAACTTGTTGACTGAGATAAATTTTATCATATCTCAATCAATATGTTAATGTCCAGCTCAAATGAACGTCAATGTTTTAATGGAAAATGACTAGTTTAGAACATATAAATAGTCAAGTAACAATTTTATAACTTTTAATAGTTGACGACTCAACAAAATAATGTCCTATACTCAGGGGACCATTTTATGATTTTTAATAGTCGTGAAACTCAATATAATAACACCCTATAATCGATGGACCATTTGTATATTTTACCCTTTATAAAAATGATGACTATATAAATAGATTGAATTTTTTATCGTGAGTTTGTTCAAGTTTCCAACAGTATTATTAAAAATATGTTAAAATATGAGATAAGATTGGAAATTGTCATCATTTCATTAATAAATGAATAATTTTACATCTATTGTACTAAGCTATATATACATCGTTAACAATCAGGGATGGACCGAGAGATGACAGATGGGGTAGTCGTCCCCTTAAAAAATATATATATATATTTTTAGATATTTTATGTATTTTTTATTTAAAATATTTTATCGTTCCCTAGAATTTTATAAGTGTGTTTCTTCCTAAAATTTTAGAAAATCGTAACCTCTAACATAAAATTTTGCGATTGTCGCTGCTAACAACTTGACTAACTAAAACTGAAGCAATTAATTACTAAAAGAAATTAACACTGTAAAATTAACTTCTAACTTATAACTTCTAACGATCGAATTCATATTCATTTAATGTTAAGTAACCAACGCTTTCTTTTTACTCTTTAGTTTACAAGACAAAGGAAAATAATGAAATTATGCCATTAGTCCTTAATTTCTTTAAACTTTATATTTTGAACTTCAAAGTTCACCTTAGGTTCAATTTAGTCTATAAATTCATCAATAGCTAAAATGTAAAGAAATAAAAGAAAAAGGATAATCGAGTAAATGAGTTTATAAATGAGTCGATAAATGAGTCAATAAACAAGGTTACTCGTAAATATAAACGAATCAAATACACATATATTCAAATTCGTTCACTTATTAAATAAACATAAAAATTTTACTCTTATTTATTTATTTAACTTAAAAATTAATATTATATGAATATTTCACAAACAAAACGCCAAACGTTGTGCTGATTACAACCTATAAACGAAATATCTTATGTTCTATGAACAACAACAAAGATTGAAAAGGACGCATTTAACCCTACTTACTTTGAAAACTTCAATATTATTCATAACTTCGGGCTTCGTACAGTTTGGAGGCGAAGGAATTGGGTTTAAACCAATCCACTAAATGGGCTCCTATGAATCTATTTGGTATTTGAATTTAATACT